CACTGCTACAAGTACTGCCATAGTTAGTACCGGCGCCAACACAACTAACAGTAACAGCAAGGTTTCAAGCCCCAGCAAGACTGGTGCAACAGTTCCTTTGCGGTCCATCTGTTCTGCCAAATCCCCTGACAACGCATCAACCCGGCCGCAACTGGGCTCCAGTATAAACGGTCCACCGACTCTTCCCGATTGCCCTTCATCAATCGCTTCCGACACCGATTTCAATCTTCAACTGCCGCTGTTGCAGCTTTCAACCAAGCTTCCTCATTTATCTCTGCCATCACCGACCTCGCTAGCTCAGCCCCAACCGGGTCTCGTATCAGTCTTTCAGTCCTCTAAGACATATACCACTTCTGTCAATACACCCTCCACTGCTTGCACTCCGGATATTTCTACCCATCTTTCCCTCTTTGATGGCAGTGTCAGCCACAGCGGGGGTAGCAGCAACACTTCTACTGTCATCAGTGGTGGAGACATCAGCAGCAACCTCTCAGTGGTTGCTTCATTACCTACAGACTTACTTCTTGGGCAGGTTGGCAGCGCATCAGGTGGCTCTGTCCAGCTAGGTGTTTGGCCTGGATCTTCTACCACTACCGCTAATATCAGTACTGCTACTACCACAAACACAATCACATCTCTAACCGCTGCCGTTCCCTCTACAATCGTCTCTGCACCTACCTCTCTTTCATCTTTACCTCCACTTGGTATATCCTTTCCTTATCTGCAAGGGGCATCCGCCTTAAGTTCCTTTTTTGGCTCCCCTGCATTCGTCGCTTCTCCGGCCACTTCTGCATCATCTCTCTTTCCTTCCACAACTCTCGCCACTTCTGGTGCTAGCCCTATAAACCCTCCAAGCCCCGTAAGTGCTGCTGCTGCAGCTGCCGCCTTTCTGCCCACGGCTCAGCTACAAGCTGCAGCAGCTGCCGTTGCAGCAGCCGCAGCCGTTCATTTCCCATTTGCAGCAGCCGCTGCAGCTGCTTTAGCTGGCTCGACTTCCACCTTAACAACTCCTTTCTCCTCATCCCTCTGCATTGCCAACACCACTGCCGCTACTGGGATACCTCCACTTGCTGCTTCTCCGAGTCTGAGCTCTTCTCTTGCCACCTCCTTTTGGCCTTATTTAGAGCACAGCAGTCCAACTGGCTTCGCTGCATCTGGTGTGGGTTCTGTCGGTTCGCAGTTGCCTCATATAAGGTGGGCTATAGTACTTGGTTTCTTCCTACATATGTATGTGCAAACTGATCATACACTGAAATGTTACTCAGAAAACATTCGACCTTATAATTTAAAGAGACTTACCTATCAAAATTAAACGACTTTATGAGGCAAAATTTGGAAGTCGGCATTAATCTGCTCAAGGATAGGCTCGCATCATCGACATTCTGATAGTTGAACTTACATTGTATCGGAACTTTCTCTCATTTGGTGTTGACGAAAATTTGTCTGACTATTCCATTAAATCTACATATCTTTTCAATTTTACGATCATGACGATATGCTTATCGTTTCGGTCTTATTGAGCTGGCTTATGTGGGCTTTAATGCACATTGTGCTGGTTTATTAAACTGGATATATGTCAGCTCTTAATGGGTGACTTGACTGCCTACTTGAATTCTGCGCAGATGCTCAGCATCCTTGAAATGTCCATCGGTTTTTGTAGTTTCACAGTGAGGGAGCGATGGC